GGGGGTGGGGAGTGCTGCGATTGTTGACATTGGTAGACAAAGCTATAGACAAAGAAGACAAAGGGGATAAGGAGGGATCCTATAGAGAATTTGCAGGTGTCTGAGATTTGATGAATTTCGTGTTCAAGTGGAAACTACTGAGTGAACTGAACACGAGGATACCCTTGGTTCATGAATTGAACAGTTCTTGGAGAAGATATGACAAAATGATCTGATTTACTGAAATACATGTGTTTAAATGGGAAATGCCGCCAGATGACACCACTAAGCTGTGCATTTTCTCACTTGTAAATCTATTTTTATACTGTTTCCCATAACAGAAAAAAACTATAGGAAATACTGTGAAATCAGCTCTTTATTAAGTACTTTCAGATGAAGCAATAAAAACGTTGCATGCAAATTCTCCATTGGTGGAAGCGAGTGGTTGCAATGGACAAAAGTAGTAGGTAATAGACTAGCTGACGGCAACCCACGAGAAACCTGACAGTCCATCATTTTCTCCCTTAGTCTACAGGAAACATACATTTCAACCAATAGGATCGTTCAACGCTCCCAATGTTCTTTTTGCCTTTAGCTTTGTCTGTAGACTTCAATAATCAGCTCGCAGAATCTTGTGTTAATATACTGCCGTGCTAAGGACGAAAGGCTGCCAAAGAAGATGCTTGATTGGGTTCCGGTTCCTCCCGGGAGGAGACGAAGGGGACGCCCAGTGAAAGGGTGGCGACAGTGGGTTTTAGAAGAAATGAGGGTGTGCCAACTCCCTGAAGGGCTTCGGGAGTATAAAGGACTTCGGCTAGCAAACTGTACAATTTCTTTTCTCCTGAAGGTCGACATGGGAATTATTCTATCAGGCTCTTTTTGTACACAAAAACATTAGGTGATGAAATACTGTTTTCAGTTGTTTGTACTGTAAACTTGTAATTTTCACATTTACAGCATCATGGCAGAATTCCTTGTTGAGAAATGCAGTCTTCATGAAACCCAGTACTCCAGCGTGTTTCCAAATACAGGACTATCAATTTTAATTTTTAAAAACGAAAATTTTTTTTCGTCGCTTCTCTGGCATAAGGACGTACCTAGATTTCCACTTGAACCCCAGATAGCATGGATTTACATGTAAAACAGGGCTTATGCTCACGTGGAAGTTGAGATACGTCCTTACGTCAGAGGGACGACGATTTAAAAGGAGTGTAACGGGGTAAAAACTTACGTGCTTCTTTGGAGCAGTTCATCGTGACAAAATAACTATCAGCCGGGAGGGTGGTTTTTGCTAAATCCTCAACTTGAACAGCGAGGCCGAAATTTTTTGACTTCCCCCACGCTCTAGCGGCCTTTTTGACGTCGAATTCAGCATAAGTTTCACTTCCCAGCGTCACCATCCGACTGTCTAACAGACTGATTGTCCTCTTCGCTAAAATTTTAAAATGCATGAAGTCATTAGTCAAATGAAGTCCCTAGGGCAATTTTGAAACACATTCATAGGTCATATCAAATAGACCGCATTTTGCAATAAGGAACTAAAATTCCTAACTGGTAAATTGTAGTTCCTCATCGCAAAATGTGGTCCAAATGAGGGTCCCGGTGCCCCCCCCCCCATTTTTAGAGTGCCGCGGAAATGGCTGAACAAAACTTGGTCCCACAGGCGTGGCCAAAGGAGAGAATGTCTAGACAGATTTCTTCATGACCTAAATCTCTAAAAAAGGGTGATTCCCAGGAGTTCCAGAAATTTTAAACCGTCACACCCCTCGAAGATGGGTGCCCATTTTTTTATTTTGTGCCCCCTTGCTCGTGGAGAATTCTTGTCCACGCCACCCTATGATTATTTCTTCGCCTTAGTCTTACGAATAATTCACGTGGATCAATCAGCACATTTTAGAACAATTATTTTTATCATCGACGACTGAGGCCAATGCTGCCGTGCTAAGGAAAAACGCCGTAGGAGCCTTCAGGCGTTGCCAGATTCCTCTCAATAATAACCGAATTTACTGGAAACGTTTTGAATGTTTTGCTTCAAAATTTTCAGATGATTTTATGTGCGATTTTATCTAAAAGATCTGAAAATTTCAAGAAGAAATATGAATAACTTCCCTCAAAAAGGCATGTTTTATCTGGAGAAATTCGGCAACTCTCGAATGTTCATACGGCGTTTATCCTTAGCACGGTAGAATGTAGAGAGAACCGCGATGGATCAATGCAGGAAAAGACTCAAAGACGTGAACCTCGAGACAGCGCAGCGTGGCGGTGAATCTCGGCCCTAGATCACATAGAATCACCATAGGAAAGATTTGGCATAGAGAAAAAAAGGAGGTGTTTGCATCTTGAGGTTTGTTTACCCTATGACGTAGGTCGGTACAACCTGGCCAGCGAGATCCGGAATTCGAAGTATGAAAAACGGACCATAATGTCCCATTTTTTTGCTTAAATTAACTCATGATATAATTTCAAGCACTTTTTATAGAATGACTTTTTTCCATAAATTACACCATTTCCAAGAAAATCGATGATAAACGTCGCTGTACCGACCTACGTCATCAAAAAAATTCCAAGATGCCCGAAATGCAAACACCTCCTTTTTTTCTCTATGAAAATTTGGAGGTTTTTTGCTAATTGAGAGGACAAGGTGCATAAGTGGAGTTTTTGCTATCGAGAAGTACGCGTTTAAAGTTTCAAAATTACAGGCGGGAGCCTCGTGGCGGACTGGAAGTTTGAACTCACTTTAGATTCTTTAAAGTTCAATTTTAGCTGTGAAATTTTGACAGAATATACTTTCGAACTAGTTTTAGTTGAGTTCATGAATACCTCAGTTTTCTCATAAAACTGCACTTATGCGCCTTGTCCTCCAAGCCCCTCATTTGAAACGTGTCCTCGTCGAATATTAATGTCAATTTGAACATTGTAAGTCTATATTGAATGTACTTACTTTTTTCTTGTTTTTTCAGAGGTTTCGTATATCTATGAACGGAGACCCGAAACTGTCTATCTTCAGCAGCTCCGGCTGCAGTTTCACCAATTCGGACACTGCAAAATTTGATAGCTTTTCGATCATCGTTTGCTGTTTGCGAGCAGTTTTCTGATAGTGTCATCGATGAATTGGCCTGCAGAACAAGATTACGCTCTGTGTAAGTATAAATCAAGTGCATGTGCGAAACAAAAAGGATCAATTTTCAACTATATTTATTTTTTAAGGTGATTTGACGGTTGCCATTTTTTGTGTCTGAGCGACGTGCGATATATCGCATCAATTCGTTCCATAATCTCAGCTACTTTCATTATTTTCGAATTTTGGGGTCGCACTTCTGTTGTCACATTCAGATACCACATTTGACAAAGTAATTAAACGAGATAAAGGCAGGGTTTTCTTAGAGGAAAAATATTGCATTCGATAACACAAAAAATGGCTACCGTCAAATCACCTTGAGTTGCATATTGCCGTGGATTGATGATAAAATGATGTGTGAAAAGCTTCGCACAATTCAAGATAAATGGCGTCCAGGAACTAAAAATCGTTTAGAAAACTATTCTAGGATGCACATTTTTACAGATAATTCTTTCTCGCAGGAGCAATGAGCAATGAATTACATTTCATCTAAAATTATGAAAATAATCAGAAAATCAATCCAACAGTAAATATTTGACTATCTGTCCAGGCATTTGGCAAAATGCCTGGTTTTGCTATTTGCCTCCGACTTATGCAGAAAATTAACGGAAAGTTGCACCAAAATCCGCAAAATAGTATTCGTGAAAAAAATTACAACGCTATGTTAAATTTGGCGGTTGCTGATGTGGCTTGGTTCCTTTCCGCTTAGCACGGTCCAATTTATGGATAACTGACTGGAATTGGCGGAGCTACATTGCATGAAATCTTACCTTGAAATATAGACGCAATTTGGCTCCCGTGACCAAAGTGGCAGTTCCATTGATGGCATTGAGTGGAGGGGCAGGGGGTGGAAAGCTCACATTGAACACCAGGTTCATCATTTTTCCATTATTCCATAACTCTTCATCCGTGTCAGTTGGCACGCTACCTGCAACACAAAATCCTCAATTTATTGGATGAGCGTCGTAAAATCGTTAGACTGCCCGGTCTTTAGCTTTAAACCAGGCGTGGCTTGCTTTGCGATGTGTCGATTGATCTACCATTTAAAATTATGGAACAGGATCGATGAACATGGTGTCCGCAACGGACACTTTAACAATCGATTTTTCACCATGGCTTCAAAAGGGGAAATATCGATAATCGATCATTCACGCTTCGCCACTATGGTGGCATGCAACAAAGGCCTCTTTGAAGTAATGGCGAAATTACATCTTTTACGCTCTTTTAGCAGGGTCTTTGACTCTCTGTCTGGTGAAAGGTTTTTGTGCCTTGCATGGAGCAAGATCCCATGCTCTTTTTATTTTATGGAAACGGAGGAACCGCCCGTATCCGTCCTAGGGAACAGTGGCGTGGCGTGAGTTTGCGGTGTATCGATTGTTATGCCATTTAAACCTATGATGAAGAATCGATTATTAAGGTGTTCGCTGCGAACACCCTGTTTATCGATCCTTTTCCATAGGTTTAAATAGCATAACAATCGATATATCGCAAAGCACGCCACGGCACTGCAGGGAAGAGAATCGTGTATTATGAGAAAAGAATGTTTAGAACTTTTCAAGAATAACAAAAAATTTACATGTGCATTGCATGGCTTGTATGGCCAAGCATGGTTGGTTCGCAACTTCATGTTGTTTTATTCACGTTAATTTTCCAAATTCAGCTTCATTACAGCTTACTCGATTGCAGCCGTTCCACTGATGGTTTTCGTTAGCACTGCGGTAAATCCAGAGTATATTAAAACTTTCAATGCATTCAAGACTTGCAAAAAAAAAAAAGGTAAGGGAAGTTGTTGGTTAATTTGAAAAGCGAGTTTATTCGATTGAAGAAGCAACGTTTGTTGCTGAGAACAGTGGTGAAAAACTAAAACAGCAAAAGTGCTTAGTTCCTAGCTCCTTAGCCCAATTTTTAGTAAAGTTAAATAATCTGAACATAGAATGTGCGTTCAATTGGTGCTGATAAGTTTTTTGCACGAATACACTCAATTAATTGCATCGCATTTTCAATCTCGAAAGAACTAGTGAGAATAACAACAAATGGGGGCAACAAATTGTAAAAGCCTTGATTTTCTAGGGTGTACTCTATCAAAATTGATAAATTATAATCATAAAACGCATGAGAAATTATTCAAAGTTCCAGTGAATGATTCAGTGACATTTTTGGTGACATTGGGTGATTTTTTTTTTTTTTTTTTTTTTTTTTTTTTTTTTTTTTTTTTTTTTTTTACTTCAAATACCACACAAGTGGTAATCCTTGCGCTTCCAGTTAGAGCCCCTCCTCCCTCCGTCCCTACCATATACCAGTCCAAGATAACCGTTGTTTAAGACCATCAAACTCGGGTCGCGTAGCCGGGAATCGAACCCCGGGACCTCCTGATTGTAGAGCCAGCGCTACAACTACTACACCACAGGAGGCCGACTTGTTGCTAAATGTAAAGCCTTACGTTCAGAGGCAAAGATATGCGTTGTGCCCGTCTTTATATTGAAGGCGTAGCTTACCGAGGATCACAAAAGGATACATACATTTTAACATTTACCTTTAAAAATTTCATATTTTTGACTCGGGAAAGTATAATAAATCTTAAAATTCTGACTTACACGAAGGGAAGTAACTCTGAACTTTCTCGGTTGCATCCTCAACACCAGAAACAGGTATCGTCTTCAGCACATTATTCAGCATCTCTTTGTGCTGAGGCTTTGCATCGCTCCAGTTTCCTGGGTTTCGACCAGACATTTTGAAAAATCCTAGGATCTTGTGCTTTATCGAATATAAGGTCACGTTCTTATCCCTGTATCAACACCAAATAAATGAACTTATAATTTAAACACACTGGGCTGAACACCGTTGTACACAGAATGTAATTTCATGTAATGTGTGTATGTGAGCCAATACGCTGTGATGAAACATTATTTATAATGTATTACTCTCATTGGGTTGTCATAAATACCGAGGCTTTTCGGTTACACAGAAACATAATCAATGCGAATAGACAAACAACAATCGAGGGGCTTGGAGGACAAGGCGCATAAGTGCAGTTTTCAAAAGCAAAAATTGACTTATTAGTGATTTCTAATAAATTCAGGGTTGAAATAAAATCCGTGAAAAATTCCCCGGTACAATTCAATTTTTAAGCGTGAAAATGTGGGTTTGAAATTTTGCTCCGCCATAAGGTTTCATATGATTCAGAAATTTTAAACACGTTTTTCTCGAAATAGCAAAGACTGCACTTGCGCGCATGTGCGCCTTCTCCTCCAAGCCCCTCAACTTTGGCTACATAATTTAGGTATTAATGTAGCCAAGAAGGTAAGTTATGTAAGCAATACCTATGTAGGTAATAGAATAGGTAAATGGAGCTAAAATTGTTGTGGTTGTCCATTCGCCTTGATAATGGTTTTATGTAACCGAAAGGACGCGGCTTTTATTAAAACTCAATGTGAGTAATACATTTATACAGTATGTATTACCCCAGTATATTGACTCTCATCTAAATTTCACACAGTTCTCAAGCAATTGTCAATATAAGGTAAATCCATGCGGAAGTAAGCAAATATCGAGCTATATGAAACAAATGTTGATCAGAAACTAGTTTTTCCGTCCATTTTTTTTGCAGAAAACTGATCCATGGCTGATATAATAAAACTAACGTACATTTTGTTCATTCATTAAAAATGCATATTTTACATCAAAAATTTCAGGGAATTTTGTACTTAAAACAAAATTTGAAACAAAGTTTTGAGGAAATTTCTAGACCGTTCTAAAGTAAATGTATTATTTCTTCAGTAAAATGTTACTTGAGATGCAATTAAGCCCTTTTGACCCTGTACCCTTCACAGCTCCCTTCCTCTGGAAGCTAATAAGACGTATACAAGAGATAAGACCTCTTGCAAGGCCTGTGTCTCGTATCAACCGAGGCTTCATCTACCTTGCGAAACTTATATAAAATTAAAATGCTGAAAAGCACCATGTTAAGATGTAAACAAACCGCAAAAATTGATCAAAGCTAAGATTAAGCATTCTCAAAGCTTTTAAAATGCAAAGCTTTGGAATCTTTCACTGATCATTATGAAAAATTTTCTTCTTGAATTTTTCTTTACGAACAGTAGAAAGAGATTTTATGTTATAGATTCGTGCGTTGCGTTACCATCTTTTGTCTACCCTCCTATTTGAAGGCATTTCGAGGCTGCATTTTAGTTGAAGACTTTGTGCTACGATGAAAGTTTATCTAGATCTAGAGATATGTGCATAAAAAATGAGTTTTGGATACTCCGTTTGCACTTTTTAAGTAGCTGAAATTGAGAGCTTATATGATCGGAATAATCAACATTTACTTTTCCAAACATTTCACTGAACAGATTGATGAGCTAAACCTTTCATTTACATTGAAAACGTATGGTCGTAAATTGTCGGAAAAAGTAGACGTGCTGTAATGTGCTCAACATGACTCGCGACTGCATTTCAGTGTGTTTGAAGCCTTCTGATTGGACGATGGTGCAGTTACAATTCATCGATGTTGCATTTCCGCGCAAAAGTGCCGACAACATTCAACCCCTGTGTACATGTTAATCGTAGAACAAATGGATTACATTTTGCAATAAGGAACCGCTATCTCCGGCCCATTTTAGAAACATCATACATGCCATTGCTTTCCCTATGCAGATATGTGCTTTTATGAGAGAGCCAGAGATAGTGGTTCCTTACTGCAAAATGTAATCCAAGTGGTCATCTACTCATCGAGCTCGAGTGTAAAATTCCATTTCGATCGACGATTTCTTTTCTTGGGATAGAGTAACTTGAACTGTGTTTCTCCGCCGGCAGTAATGCGGTGATGTCCTCAACATTCAACAACGTTGCATTGTCAATGTACCGAGAAGTTCAATGTAACGTCCTCTGGTGACAACAGGTGTAAAGAACATGAATNGGGGGGGGGGGGGGGGGGGGGGGGGGGGGGGGGTCTTGAGCACGAACAGTGACTCCTTGAACGATCAACGCGGCGCGAATCTGCGTGACGCGTGAATGTCAGCTTACGTAATCTCCGATTTGGCCGCTTCTCATTTCTCACCACTGCTGCACCTGTGGACCTACATTGGCGGAAAAGCGATGGATGCCACAGGCCGCAGTGCTTCTCGTGAGCAGAAAATATACGGCTGTATGATCGGCCATCGAACCTGAACTTCGATTTTAATGAGTCGGTCGTTTTAAAACCGATAACCGAGAGATAGCACCGGTCTGATCGTTGAAATTTGGTGTTGGTCGAGTAGACGTAGACGACGATAGTCCTCAAAAACCTTGGGGGCAGTTAGCTCCAACACTGAGGACTCTTTCGGAAAAAAAAAAACCTTTGTAAAGCAATAAATCCTTTTTTTACCCCTAAAACAAGCCTCTGCAGCATGGTCATTTAACCCTGCGACACTCTGTAGAGTGGTAGATCATGCCAGTGGAAGCCGATGAGAAAAAAAGGAGCAAGGGCAGACGATGGGGCAGGGGGTGGAAACTTCATCCTTATACCCCTAAAGCACGCTGCCGCAGGATGGTCGTTTAACCCTGGATCACCCTCTAGAGTACTTGATGGTGGCAGTAGACGCCGACGAGAAAAAGAGGAGCAAAGGCAGAAGGTGGGACAGGGGTTGGAAACTTATTTATTCTCCTAAAACACGCTCCTATAGGATGGTCGTTCATCCCTGGAATACCCTGTAGAATAATAGTGGTGGCAGCAGACACCGACGAGAAAAAAATGAGCAAGGGCAGAAGGTGGGGGCCGAAGGTGGGGGCAGGGGGTGGAAACTTATTTTTCCCCCTAAAAGACGCTCCTACAGGATGGTAGTTTGTCCCTAGAACACCCTGTAGGATGATAGTGGTGGCAGTGGACGCCGACGAGAAAAAAATGAGCAAGGTCAGAAAGTGGGGGCAGAAGGTGGGGAAAGAAGATGGGACAGGGGGTGAAAACTTATTTTTTCCCCTGAAACACGCTCCTACAGGATGGTCATTAATCCCTAGAACACCCTGTAGAATAATAGTGGTGGCAGTGGACGTCGACGAGAAAAAAATGAGCAGCGGCATAGAAGGTGGGGGCCGAAGGTGGGAACAGAAGGTGGAGGCCAGAAGGTGGGACAGGGGGTGGAAACTTATTTTTCCCCCTAAAACACGCTCCTGCAGGATGGTCGTTTATCCCCGGAACACCCTATAGAATAATAGATGATGGCAGTGGACGCCGACGAGAAAGAGAGGAGCAAGGACGGGCGGTGGGGGCAGGGGGTGGAAACTGGAGGTCGAGCGGGAGGCAGGCGAGCAGGTGGTCAGAGTCGATGCCAGGACCAATCCGATCAGCGATCCGAGTCCGCGTCGCATTCGCATTCGCAATTGGATTCGCAATCGCCTCTGGCTCTCGCCGGCCGGACGTCTAGACAGGACCTAGACATGGTCAAGTACGAACTGTGGACGCTTCTTATCTAGCGTGTGACTCAAGGCCGCCGCGCGCCGCCTCTCGGGCCGCGCCCGCCACCGTGTGCATGACACGCGCCGCGCAAGGCTCATCCAGGGGGGGGGGGGGAGAAAATAACGCATTTTTCGCGACATCGATTCAAAGAACACGCTTGATCCGCCGGGTTATTAATATAAAGCAGTGCACTGTTAAATGGACCGCGTTTAACAGAAAGGACCCAAGCGACATCAGCTATTGCCAAATTCAACTGGGCAAGTCAATTTTTTACGAGAGAACGTTTGTGCGGATCCCTTTGAAAATTTCAAGGGATTTGCTTCGTACTATGGAGAAAATTCGCTGAAATTTGCACGAAAATCCGCCCAGCCGTTTTCTTGTATAACATTAATTGGACCGCGTTAAACAGAAAGGAACCAAGCCACATCAGCTATTGCCAAATTCAACTGGGCAAGTCAATTTTTTACGAGAGAACGTTTGTGCGGATCCCTTTGAAAATTTTCAGAAATTTGCTTTGTATTATAGAGAAAATTCACTGAAATTTGCACAAAAATCCGCACAACCATTCTCACGTAAAAAATTAAACCGCCCGATTAAAATTTGGCAATAGCTGATGTGGCTTGGTTCCTTTCTGTTTAACGTGGTCCAATTTTCCCCATTAAATTTGGCAATAGCTGATGTGGCTTGGTTCCTTTCTGTTTAACGCGGTCCAAATGTTTTACATTTTGCAATAAGGAACACTATCTCTGCCTCTTCCATAAAAGCCAGCTCTTCCATAGAGTCAACGTAATTTACTGAAAATACCCGTGATTTCTCTCAGCAACTTATTTTTCAAAAAGTTCGAACTATACAAATGGTTTGTTCCTCTTCGAAGAAATAAAATAGGAACGGAAATTCATTCTGCGACACCGCAATAGATATACGTAGTTTCGCACTTTGGTAATCGATATGCTAGTAGGCTGTTTAAGTAGTGTTCTTATAATGGAGATAAGTATCGAGTCCACTGACTTGTAGATGGAGAGTAATGCTACCGTTTTATAATTGGAGGTTATTAAAGTAATGTACTCATCCAGCCAGTAGATTATTGAAATTGATGGCCACAGCTTTATACACAACGGAGGCAAGGATAAAATTGAGTGCGCCTGGTGGTGGAATCGGGCGCTACATTGAAAAAAAGAGGTAAATAATGGACTAAATAAAGGCAACCCGCCGAGAGATCCTTCAGTAGAAATCTACACAGAGGTAAGCTGTACAAGTCAATTTGCGTCCATCAGTGCGCCTTCATTTTCGTCTGATACTGTGCAACACTTCGGTGGCGGAATAGTTGCTCAGAGCGCCTTCAACAGAATTGCCTCGACAGGTAAAACGCATTCATATCTCCACTTGCGACGTTGCTAGTTTTCCACCGCCTATTTTATGCGGGTTCGCTAATGTGAACACTTTAAAATCTGCCGCTATTTTTCCGAAATAAAATGAAAAGTCTCAAGAAGGGAAAAGAATAGCAGCAGTACAGTAGCAGCAATAACAGTGGTAAAAATTATAACAGAAATGATGGACTAATTTTCAAGATTCATCGAGTTTCCTCAGAATTTGACTAATCTAATGTTCTAAATGAGCCGAAAACATCCGCCGAGACAGGTGAATTCATCTAGTTTGCAAAAGATTTTTTATAGAGCTATAGGCGCGGGAAAAAGGTATGATTTCCGACAAAACAGCAGTAAGCCCACATTTTCTTTCACAAAAGTTTTTATATTCTACTGCTTTCTTGTGTAAATTGGCACGCTTTTGTGCCAATATCTAGCATTAAAATGTGTTCGTTAATAGTTTTATGTGCAACCACGTAAGTATGCAGCAGATAACACATACAGCAAAAAAAGAATATATTATACTGACATATTCGTAAAAGTATACCTACAAGTAGATGGAACTCAATTTCAAATATGATCATGACGGATCATGTCGTTCCTAAAATTAGCCAAAAAATTGGTTTCTCTCTACCACAGTAGGTCCTCATTGGGTAAGAAAATTAAGATCAATATTCACCTTCAAAATGTGTTGTAAATGGACAATTTTCCAAAATAATTATCGGAGAAGCGCCAAATGGACCTCTGCTGTAATAAGTTGCTTACTGTTCAGCTAGGCAACTAAACTAACTGCGAGAAAATTAAAAGTGAATGCATGACCGAAATCGTGTTTGAAGGTTCCCCGGTGAAAATATATCGATGGAAGCAATACCAATGTTCCACTCAGAGAGGACTTCGACCTATATGTATTTTGGTGTAAGAGTACATTTTCAATTCCTCTCTTAAAATCCAACGGATATATCATTTCGTCGGTACTAAGAGGACGCTCAAAATGCATTCTTGGTACTTCAAATTATGGAAATACAAAATGTCCCCCGAAAAGTTATCAAGCGCTTTCATCGATAAATTCACTTTTTGTCCATAGAGGGACATAGTCGAGCACCACTTCAAACTCAACTGTGTTCTTGAGGATTTTTTAGGCAACAATAGTTGTGTGGTGAGAAGACGTTGTATGATCATGAATGACAAATGTAGGTTTGGATGGCGATGGTAGGGAGCTTCACAGATACAACTGCGATTTGGAGCGCCTTCAAGTTTTTTGATACTCCACGCTCTCCCGTGCAGTTAGCTTAGTTGCCAAGCGGATCAGAATTCGAATGAATAAGTTATCAACTCTTCTTCCTTCATTGCATGACCTCGGTTTAAAGCGTCCTCGTGTTCACGTGATAATTTGCAGCCACAGAAAATTGGTGTAATGGTTACCCTTCAAATATATATAGATTATTTTTTGTGTTGAGTTTTAAGCGTAAGCATTCTCGGTTCTTGATCAAATTCTGTTTATGACGCAGGAAAAGCAAGATTCTTAAGTCGTTAAGTTTTAGTTGTTTCCTTTAACATGTATTCCCTGCGATGCTTTACACATAACAAGTGTCTTTTTCGCCTTTTGACGAAAAAACCGAGCATAAGCAGGGTGTTACGGTGTTCTCATAGCTTTCGTTAAGAGCTTAGTCCGCGAAACAAACATTTTTCCTCGTAAAAACCCAAAAAGACGTATCCACTTTGTAATGATCCAAAGTGACATAATAGGATTACTATCGTAACTGCAGTTAAGATAATCCGCAACAAAATGAAATATCTACACTTTAAGAGAGGAAAAACTGTTTGAGTTCGCGATTTTTACACACGATACTTCATGCAAATAACAATTCTTTCGATGAAGACTACATCAGTTAATATCTGATAGCATATGAAGTTAAAAATAATGTAAACAGAACTCTAAAACATTGTTCTCCGCATTAAATAAGAAAAAAGCAAACATTGAATTGCACTCGAAATGTTATGTATCACTCATAGAAAACATATTAGTGGATTAAAAGGACACACGCAAACGTAAAAGTTACACTTGTAGCATACCTTTGTATATCAAGAGTGTCATTATCACTGAAAAAATAAAAATATTGAAATTAATCGACTGTATAAAAAAATTGGACCGTACTTGTCCTAAAAATTGTGTGAGTTAACGCAACGAAAGTCGAAGATGTTTTGAAGTTCCACAGCACAGAATCATATAATGAAACGAAAGTGAGAACGGGAGAACCATCCGATGATCACATCTAACTAAAGCCTGTAATATTATTCTGTTGAAATATGATTTGTTGGTTGCTTTTTTTGAATGAAAAAATGATTCGATAAATTCCGATTCCTAAAAATGAACAAGCAACGTGAAAAGACGAACTCAGACCGCATCACAAAGTAGCTTTGATTATAAATTCGTATCGTCACTATGCGCCTCTTTTTGGAGAAGCAGATTTTTTCATTAAACTCAATTTTTTCCCTCTTTGAAAAATACCGAGGATACTAAGTACCAGCACTTGGCCATCTTTAATATTTTTAATTAATACATCGTACAAAATCACGCTTTTCAACTGATAGTGTTGAACGAATGGTATAAACAAAGCCCTGGTGACAAAACTTTATTCATAGCTCCTCGGTGATATTCTCTATTCATGTTGAGAACGCAGCTCACTCGATCCGGACAATAATAATATGTGATGATTGTTGCATAGCACGGGAATTGAAGGCAATTGTGAGACGGGAATCAACAGAAGGACACGATACTACATAGAATACATCGAAGCCTTCCACCTTCCAAATTTCCAACCAAAAGGGTTTTTCATCCCAAAGTGAGGTTAGACTTGACCCCTTCCCCCGCTTTTCCCCTTCTTGAATCAGACTCAGCATGACCCTCTCCTCTAATTTTTGGGGGGTAACGAGGAAACAGTTCATATGTTACTGTTTTTTTTTTTGAATCCCTACGCTTTACCTCTCAAATTTTCAAACTAAATTTTTCCTAGCCTTAATTGAGGTCAACTTAACCCGGTCCCTCCTCTACTCTGAAGCACCTTTAAGCTCCCCACTACGAAATAATGAACGACCCCTTTCTGAGCAGCGTCTAACCACCGGGCCGGGTAAAAGTCTTAGACGCGGATTTCGTCGGCAGCAAAGGCGAGGCATGGATAATAATCGATTATCGATATTTTCCCATCTGAGGCCATGATAAAGAATCGATTAATACAGTGTTCGTTGCGAACACCCTGTTTATCGATTCTTTCCCACAGGGTTAAATGGCAGATCGATCGATGTATCGCAAAGCGCGCCACGCCACTGGTCGGCAGAGGCAGACAGACTCTTGCACAACGAAAGAGTCTGAGCGACAACTGGCCTCGACTATTTTTACACCACTCGTGTCTCCGCGTGTCCATGTACGGCCTGAAAAGGGCTCGCGCAGAGGAGAAAGAGAGTTTTGAGGAGGGCACAGTCAAGGGTTGGTCGGCCCGGAATCGCCAAAATCGATGTTGCTCCATTTGAAGCTATGATAAAGAATCGATTATTAAGGCGTTCGTTGCGAACACCCCGTTTGTCGATCCTTTTCCATGGGTTTAAATGGCAGATCAATCGATACATTGCAAAGCAAGCCATGTCACTGGTGTTGCCATACTGAGAGGAATTTTCAGTTAAATCGAAGGGAACTTCCAGTTCAGTTCTCCAGAAAACCTTATGCTGTTGCGACGGCCCACTAGACAAAGTCTGAACTGTAAAAGAAATTCACGTGTTTGCTATTCCAAATGTCATGCTGTGAGCGATTCACAGAACAGGAAATTTGGAAATCAACTCCTGAACAAGATATAAACTAGTGTACTCAGCAGAGATCTAATGGACTCATTTCTGTCAAACAAACGGAACTATGTGCATCATGACGTGAACCCTGTTATGCATATATTCTTATGGGTCGTAGAGCTCATGATATATTGCACATAGTTCTGTTTGTTAGAAGTACCTCCAAATAGACAACACGTATTTCTTGCTCGAGCGGTGATTTCCAGATGCCCCGTTTCGTGATTCATTTTCCAGAAGAACTGTTTAAGAGAATCCATGTTGCGCAGTGCTTCAATTCATACCTGGTCAAGAGGCTCATTGGAAATGAAAAAGTTGCTTATTATTTCAATACGAATGCTGATTGACTGAAAGGGAATGCATCGCAGGGAATACCAAACGGAAGCTTTTTTTGAGTTTTGGAGTTCGTCTCAGAGAAAATCAGCGGCATCATCGTGTAACTCGCAAAATTTTCCTCTAAAAAGTAAGGGCTTGAATTGTAAAAATCCGTGGCATTTGCAACATTTGCAGTTAGAAACAGGCCCATTGCTCGCTTTGGTTACACGGCATATCGAACGATAGTCGGACTTAGTGGCGAGGCGTGAATGATGGAGTATCGATACTTCCCCATCCGAAGCTAACGTATCGTGCACGTCGTCGTGGAGGTAACGTATCGATTATTGAGGTGTTCGTTACAAACACCCTGTTTATCGATCCTTTACCCTAGGTTTAAATAGCAGGTAAATCGATATATCGTATAGCACGCCACGCCACTGGTCAGACTGGCGGCCGGAAAGCGAGGAAATTCGCGGGTCTTTCCGGGCTTCGGACTCGGAAAGCGATGTTTCTCCGGATGAGGACGAGGGTAAGATCCGATCCGATCCGGCGCACACTAGTCCGAGTCAAAAGGAGAGGTCGGACAAAATTCGGAAACTTGAAACTCTTAAAACTCCGTTTATACAAAACTTTGAGGTTCTAAGAGTGGTTCCACTGGTTTTCTTGTAAAATTGTCTTCTAAAACCTCCCCTTGAAATTTAAAATGTGATGAAATAAACATAAAAATTTGCAGTTTCAGTCAAAGATGTCATGTCCGTCCTCACTAATGATCTCGACCCAGTGTGCGGACGAGGCGGGATGCGACGTGGATTAGCGATGCACAGGAGCACCGCGGGTAAGCGTCAACGTTGACTCAACGCAGTCATCGCTCCGCAAGAGCACGCGACAACTCCAAGTCTCCTCTAGACAGTCCAATTTCAGCGAGTCCTTATTCGTTATTCCTTCCCTCAGCATTTTACTAACATCCTTTTGTTTTCTCTCCTCCCCCTCCCCCTCCCCCACCCCTCCACCGTCGCATCGCCTCGGCTATTTTTTTCCTCACTTTTCTTTCTTACAAATCCGTCAAGCTTTTACAGATTGCCTCGACCACCTTGCTACAGGCTGTTCCCTCAGGTGAGACGGATCCTTGCTTCGACGTAGTGCGTTCTGAGCGGGTCGAATGTTGAAATTGATAGACAAACCGATAGACAAAGCAGACGAAAAGGATATGGAGGGATCCTATTGGTGGAAGGGGGTGATTGCAATAGACGAAAGAGGTGGGTAATAGACTAACTAACGGCAACCCACGAGAGACCCTGCAGTTAATCAATTATGATCTCCCTTAATCTATAAGAGCCACCCATTTCAACCAATATGATTGCTCCATACTCCCTATGTCTTCTTTGTCTATTAATGTCTGTAGTCAGCCTGCTGATAGGTATATTGTTCAAAGGAGGTATATCTATCTGTATCATTCTTATTCGAAGACTTAGGGCCTATCCCTAAGTTGTCTGTGTCTATCGCTTTGTCTATCAATTTAATAAATCAGCCCGCTGGGCGCGATCGATTAGGATTACGGTTCTTCTTTCTAATTTTTTCTTCGGCAAGGGATGAGGATAATGAATGACTAATGACATCGCGAGAGATGCATATAATTTTGTCGGCAAAATGCATTATTACATGATACACGGGCAGATTTTAATTTATTTGTCTTAGTACGCTCTAACATGTACGAGGTAAAATTCCATTCTTTCTGCGCTTATCTGCAGGTCAATCCTCTAGATATTCGTAAAATATTAAAATATGACCCGGGGAGCTGTACTTAAAAGGCACAAAGCGTCCTCTGGGGATTGGGCCGCGTAAAGGCCGAAGGGTCCCTAAGGGCCCAGAGGGGCCCCCGCTCATAGTCATTGGATTTTCCCATTAAAGAACTCGCGAAGAAAGAGCGCGTCGTTTCCTCGTGCAATCCTGACATGCTAGAGTGATACCACTATTCGGCCACGTGAGAGCTCGTATTGCCTATACTGAAAACTGAAGGCGAACTGATAGTGGGCTAATGTCACCGTTCCACGCTCGACAAGGCTTATTGCCGATTTTTCCCGCGATTGATCTTGACCTCTGAGGATGATCCTACCATTAGGCTTTGTGGTAGCGCATGTTGGAGTTGCAAACGCTGGAAAAAAAACAAATTGGATCTAGAGTCCAAACTCTTGAAAACATCGACAAGAAAAAATACTCTTGATTCAATCGGATTTAAGCTTAAATCAAGAACCAAGCCTCTTAATTTGTGCGGATTTCCTTTTGATTTAAGCTTAAATCTGATTGAATCAAGAGTCCTTTTTCTTGTCAATGTTTTCAAGAGTCTGGACTCTAGATCCAATGTGTTTTTGTTCCAGTGAAGAATAGAGGTTATCTGAGATAGAGCGAAAAAATTTCTCTCGAGCAGTCACACCAAGAAAACAAAAATGACACTAGTGGCAATAGGTCACCTAATCTTGTGTTTCTTATTTAATATTCTGAAAGTAACAGGTGAGCAGACTAAGTGGTGATTTATTGCGTATATTTGGAGCAAAAATCCTGGACGAGACCGCTTTTAAAAAGTCCCAAGACTCAAAGGAATTTCAAACGCGACGAAATGCCTGGAAAATGATGGAACCGATGTACTGCGGCAGTCAAATCGCTAACATCTCTCAATTTTCAAAATTTTTGTCAAAATAAAACGCATTTCAATGTGGGATTGTTGCTCGTTTACTACAGATAACATGAATTGTAGCCTCAAGTCTTATTTGATTCTAAGGATATATAGTTTCGAATTTCGTATTGCTTTCATATACGAAGAGAAGGAAGACATTTGACGGAAGTCGTAGGAACTCGCACTTGCTTCTGATTGGTGACGGATGGCACCAAAATGGAAAAATGTAATTGATGGAAAAATGTATTTGCGTGTCAAAATTCGTTTATGGTTTAGTGAC